TATGATTTCTCTCTCTTTTAGTCTATCTGTATTTTGTTTATATGTCTACTACTACCTAGATTCTTGTACTTTATGTATCTATAATTTTCTCAAGGAATAATCACTTTAAAGACGGAAAAATCTTGAACACTGTTGTTCATCCCCCTTGTGTACTTAGCTCAATATAAGAAATCCGTGAAGACTTGTTGAATATTAGTTTCACTGATTTGTTATTGGTCTTCAGACTGAGCTTTATAGATAAGGTAAAATTACATGAAGACTGACTTGCTTTTATTAGAGGCCTTATCTTGGAAGCCCTTTAAATGGAACTCAGAGTTCTCAATCATCCTTTGATTTTCTGAGTATAACTTTTTTTTTTTTTTTTTTTGGTTTTTCGAGACAGGGTTTCTCTGTGGCTTTGGAGCCTGTCCTGGAACTAGCTCTGTAGACCAGGCTGGTCTCAAACTCACAGAGATCCGCCTGCCTTTGCCTCCCGAGTGCTGTGATTAAAGGCGTGTGCCACCATCGCCCAGCTCTGAGTATAACTTTTAAAACTCTAATTTTGGTTGTCTTCAATTGTTGTCTGGAGTTTTCTGTCCCACCCAGTCCTTGTTCTGCCTGGTTCCCACAGTCATTAAGTCCCAAAGAAATCACACAGAGATCCACATTAACTATAAACTGATTGGCCAATAGCCAGGCAGGAAGTATAGGTGGGAAGACAGGAAGTAGAGGCAGGTCAATAAGAACAGGAGAATTCTGAGAAGAAGGAAGCCTATCCCTTTGCAATCCTGTCCCAGCTACAGAAGAAGCAAGATATGACTACCCCACTGAATAAGGTACCGAGCCACATGGCTAACACAGATAAGAATAATGGGTTAATATAAGTTGTAAGAATTCATAAGAAGCCTGAGAGTAGGCCAATTAGTTTATAGTTAATGTAGGCCTCTATGTTATTTCTTTGGGACTTAATGATCGCAGGAACTGGGCAGAACAAGGACCAGGTAGACCAGAAAACGTCAGACAACATTCAGTGAAAACTGATTAGAAAGAGAAGGGAGAATTCTTAGATAGAGTTTACATGCAAAGACATCCCAGGTGGGTCCTGTCTGGTACCTTGGCTATTTTTCTGAGTACTTGAGGATTACAGAGGGTCCTGACACCAAGAAGACAGGTTTACACGTGACCGTGCGCTCATCTCGTGCTTCTCTTCCCATTCCTGGGGTTTTTGTCTCCACTGTGCACTTTCGGCAGCCTGAAAAGTCACCGCTTCTTTCCCCTCTCCTTTGCTCGTACACTGACTCTGACTCAGAGATAGTGGTTTTCAGCCTCATTGGCTGGACATTCATCTTTTCCTTTTCCCTTTTATTGCTCTCGTGTTTGGCATACTTTCCCTACTATAGATGGATATAAATAATGGTCTCATTTTTTAGAATTTTTTGGGAAGGGTATTAAGTATTAGGACGTTCAGATCACCATCAGTAGACACTAGTACATATTTTTCAATTTTCAGTTCAGATCCCTCACAACGTGACTCCCAAGTGCAACAGTAGTGGCTGCTTACTATTTACTACAGCATGCCCAAGGCCACAATGCATTCCCTACACCATTCTTAATTTATTATTCCCATCACAATCTTAGAAAAAAATAATATTGAGTGTGGGGAAATCATATTTATAAACTTACCTTCTGCATGGCCCAATTTAGTAATGGATTGATATGTTTCAAAAGTTGTTCTTGCTTTCCTGTTTTAAACTTAATCCCGCTTTTTTCAGGATGTGGCATGTGCCACCTGCATTCTTCCAAGAAATCCATTCTTCAGGAACCAGTCAGTTTAAGAAAGTTATGTCAAGGTCTTTCAGTATTCATTGCTTACTGTGGTTATTTTAATGAGAATGGTCCCAAGCGGCTCATATATTTGGATGCTTGGTCCTAGTTTGGGAAGGATGAAGAAGTATGGCCTTGTTGGAAGAGGGGTGTCATTCCCACGCCAGGTCCTCTCCCTCTTCCCCTGCCTACTGCCTGAGGAGCAGATATAAGCTCTCAGCTACTGCTCCACTGCCACACCCGTCTGCCTGTTTCCATGCTCTCTGACATGGGTGGTCGTGAACTTTAACCCTCTGGAACTGTAAGCCCCCAAATTAAATGCTGTCTTTTACAAGTGACCTTGGTCCTGTTTCCATGGCAATGGAAAAGTAAATAAAAAAAAAAACCTACATGTACATTCTGCAGTAGGTGAGGACAATTTTATACATTACCTGTCCAACCAAGGATGAAAAACAACACTTGAAATGAAGCCATTAATAGAGTCTCTCTACTTCTATTTCCCTGTTTTTTATTTTCTTTTAATAATTATCACTCCGGCAGAATTCCTTCTGTCTTCGTGATTCTCTTGATCTATGCAAGCATGCTTATTTAATAAAACTGGACTCCCCTTCGACTGATGGCCCCATTTTAATTTGTTTACTCTGCATATATTTTTTAAATAGGCTGTCTCAGTTTTGATTTCTACTGCTGTGATAAACAATTTGATGAAATTCATGTTGAGCAGGAAAGGGTTTATTTGGTTTATAGATTACAGTCCATCATCAGAGGAAGCCAAGGCAGGAGCTCTAGGCAGGAAGCCAAAGCAGGAACTCAACTCAGGGCAGGGACTCAGGGCAGGGCCTGGAAGCAGGAATAATGAAAGCAGAGACCACAGAGGAATTCTGCTTATTGGCTTCCTCCTCATGTGATAGTCAACTTGTTTTCTTCATACAACCAAAGTCCACCTGCCCAAGGATAACATCACCCACAGTGGGCTGGACTCTCTACATCAGTTGTTAATAAAGAAAATACCCAAAGATGTGCCTACGGACAATCTGATGGAGGCATTTTCTCAGTTATGGTTCCTTTTCCCAGATGAAAATGGCTTATGTTAAGTTGGAAACAAACAAACACACACAAAAACATGACGTTTGAGATGTAAGTTATGTGCATCTACACTAAGGTAGTCTCAACATGTTTCTTCTATGTGCATGTGAACTCCTTCCCAAACAAATGTAAAAGAAAATTTAATATTAAGAAGTATCATAGAGTTGGGCAATGTGGCACAGACTTCTAAAGCCAGTCATTCTTATCCTGGGGGAGGGGGCTGGGTAAAAATCAGCATTTTAAGGTCAACCTTTGCTACATAAAGAGTTCCATAAGGCTGACTTGAGATATATGAAATCCTGCATCAAAACAAACAAACAAAAACAATAAAGAGAGGAGGGATGAAGAAGATGTGGAGGGAAAAGAGGAGGAAGAAGAGGAGAAGAAGGAGGAAGACGTGGTGAAGGTTGAGGAGGAGGAGGAGGATGAGGAGTAGTAGTAGTAGTAGTAGTAGAAGTAGTAGAAGAAGAAGAAGAAGAAGAAGAAGAAGAAGAAGAAGAAGAAGAAGAAGAAGAAGAAGAGGAAGAAGATGATGATGATGATGATTGAGACTGGGTGGTAGCTAAGACCTTGGGTTCAGTCCCAACATGAGAATGATGAAAAAAATCTCCAGTTATATTTGAAGGCAGTGGATGCACACTTGTCAGTGTGAACATGACCTGAGTCAAAAGATGGTGCTTATCAGTAAAGACCAGCCTGCAAAAAATATAATTGTGAGAACAAAAGGAAATAGTAGGAACAGAAGAAAAACTTTAATGTGTAAAGCAAGATAATCCTCTGCATTGTTTTGAAGAAAGGAAACTGTAGCAGTCAGATGCCACAAACCCTGATCTGTGCTAGAACGCACTCTTTTGACCTACGTTGTAATGTCTCACCATTCTAGACTATGTAAGTTTCATTCTCCTGCTTAAACCAGTTCATCAGTCCTGGCAAAACTCAATTTCTAACAGTTTAGTATTTTTCCTAAAAGTCATTTAAAGGTTAATTTCATTTTGTAATAATTTAAGTGTCATTCCAGAAGATGAAAATGTGCCTATCTTGACCCTTAGACATCATGTTTCTGTGCGAGGCTGCATTAGAATTTTTTTATTTTTTTACTTTTATGCGTATGAGTATCTTGCCTGCATGTATGTATGTATGTATGTATGTATGTATGTGCACCATATCTGTGTACAATACCCACAGGAGCCAGAAGAGGGCACTGGATTCCTTCATCCTGGAGTTATAGATGGTTGTGAGCTGTCTTGTGGGTGCTAGGAATCGAACCTAGGTCTTTTCAAAGAGCAGTCAGTGCTATTATGAACTGAGCCACCTCTCCAGACCTAATAGGCTGAAATTGTAACACTCCTTCATTGGTTTTATCTTGCTGGCTTTGTGTTTATACGGGTTCCTCTTAACACTCACGGCATTAACTGAGAGGTAAGGGAATAAAACTTTTCTTTACTGTTGTCTCTGTTAAAACAAAATTGCAGTCTCTGCTTCCCCCATTGCATCCTGAGTGAGCTACTTGTAGAGCCTACATGATTGTTTAAAACCCTGTCCTTTCCTCTCAAGTAATCAGGACAGTCAAAAATCCATACCCAAACTGATGTTTTTTGAAATACTGTTCAAACACATCTCCACCTCTGTGTCTTTTCCAAACCAGCTAAGGGTCTGAACTGGCTGTGGGCTGTGGGCTGCGGGCTGTGGGCTGTGGGTTGTGGGCTTGAGGCTGAAGGCTCCTGCCTGAAGGGAACCAACTCTGTTCCTCGCCTGGGGCTCCAGGATGGATTCCAGTATCCAAGAGCCTGGCGGAAAGCACTCTTGTCCTGCTCAAAGGTCCACCTTCTTTCCAGGTGAGCTTGGCTTTTTCCGGGTCCCTGCTCTCAGTGCACAGGTGTCCAGACTTGTTCTAGCGTCCCAACCCGGCGGGGGAGGAGGAAAAGAAAGGCTGCTGTGTGCAGGGCTGGGATTTTGAGTTCAGACAGGGCGCTCGGCCACGCGGGCTGTGCAGTGTTGAGAATCGGGACCTGTTGCAACTCGCCGCCCCCTGGTGACACGCTCGGCACCGCCCGGGAGGTGCGGCCAGCTCCCGCCCTCGCAGGTGCGCCTCCCTCCTCCCGGCTTCCTGGGCGCCACCTTCGCAGCGGCGGCGGCGGCGGCGGTGGTGGAGGGTGAGTCTGGAGTGCGGGGTGCCGAAGCGGCCTGCGGAGCGCGGGGTTGCTATCCCGGGTTCTCCCTTCTTTATGGACTTGGTGAGAGGGAGTCGGAAAGTTTGAAAAGTGAAGTCTCTGACTTAGGAGGTGCGGTCTAGAGGACAGGCACCGCCCACCGGGATCGGTTGGTGTATTTCCTGCTGAAGAGAAGGACCCGTGGAGGGGACTGGAGAAAACTAGGGTCTGGGGGTCCAGGGGAGAGCGAGGGAGGAGGGTGGAACTGGCAGGGCCAGGGGTCCCAAAAAGCCCAGAGCTAGGCTGTAGAGAGCTCAAAGGCCAAGCAGAAGTTGAAGAGGAAGCGTTTTGTAAGATCCACTTTCTACTGGGTGATAGACCAGTACTTTTATGATTCCAGTTGGCATGCCTTGGGTCTTTGACCTCACTGAGCTCTCCAAGATGATTCTGATACACGGGAATCTGCTCCTGTAGGTTATAACCTTAAGGGGAAAGTGTTCCTGCAGGAGATGTCTCCTGGAAGCGGTCTTGGAGACTTCAGGCCTGTCTTGTCTGATGTCTTTCCTGTGATTGAGGGCTGTGGAGAGGGTTTGCTAATTGTTGGAATTGTGAGTATGTTAATAGTGCTTCTCGGGACAGAGACAGGAGGTTATGACAATGTCGGTGGCGTGTTGGCTATGCTTAGTGTGATAAGGTTATAGACTTCAAGGTCTCACTAGAGGTGGAGACTAAATAAATACACATCAAGAGACCAGGACACTGACAAGAAGACGCTCTAGTTGCCAGCAGTTGAAGCGAGACTATAATTTCCCACAGCCCATTTTCAGACTCACCCCACGAAAATCATTCCTGGTTACTGGCAGGCACCTCCCTTCTTTCCCTTTCTCATCCCAACAAGCCCAAGAGCCCAAGGACATCTGAGTGATGCTGAATCAGTGCTGACAGGCAGCAGGGGAAGGAGACAGGTGATGAGAGGTGCTTAGCCGAGAGAGCACTTTGCAGTTTCCAAAGTAAAGAATAGGGGTGATTGCAAGGTGGGGCGCAGATCTGTCTGCCTTCTCCTGGCTTCCACTGTGAGTCCCAAGCACGGTAGCTGTCCCCACACCTTCAGATTGTTAATTCCACCCCTTTGCTTTTGGGACTAGGGCATTAGGGGTGTATACTCCTATTAAGAGTGCTTGGTGCACCCTGCAGAGCCTGCCCAAGGGGATGGGTGGATCTCCTTTCTAAGCCTGGCAGGTGGAGACTGCAGCTGCCCAGAATTTACTGTGGGAAGGAGTTCAGTCGAACAGTTGGCGAAAGGGATTGCACAGATGCAGAGACACACCACACCCCTGGTGCTGACTCAGTGATGCCTTTTGCGATTGTGCTCGAGGTTATTTCATAATTTACAAAATTCTTGGGGTGGAATAATTAATTTATATGTTTTTTCTCTTTGTCTGTTCCTGCAGTCACATTTCTTACAGGGTATGGTGCGGCTTGTTCACTGAAAGTATTTATTTTATTGTGTATGTGTGTGCTACAATGTGTAGAGGGGAGGGGACAGCTCTTGGGAGGTGGTTTCTGAATAAACCCAGGTAGTCCAGGCTTGCACCGCAAGACTCTTTGCTGGCTAAGATGTCTCACAGCCCATGAGTGTTTTCTCAAGAGGACACTCTCACCGTGCAGCCCTCCCCTGCTTACACCCTAATCAACTATACGAAGTCATAACAAGTTTCTAACATGTAACATTATTCTACATTGACCTAGAGAATACTGTGGCGGGAGAACTTCTGGCCCCGGTAAAGCAGAGCTCTCTAAAGCGTGCATCTGGTCATAGGACACCTTTCAAGAAGTGCCCACTTAATTGAATTTGACTAATTATTTGCAAAGTGACAAGTTACCCTTGTCTAGCTAGTTGGGTAAGTATGCTTGCCTGCCCCTGTGCAGCTTGTCAGATGTGAGTGTCTGCAAAGAAGCTCTGTTAAATACACTATCACTGACGGATGTGAAAGGTACTTCTGGCCCCATGAGATCACTTTGTACATTGTGTTTTAGAGCTTTATTGGTGAATTTCTCATCTGCAGGTCAGAATCAATCCCTCCTTCTCATCAAACACTTCTAAATGGAAAATGAGGCTTGGAGATGCTATGAATAAAATTTTGTACAAATATCACTTAAGTCTAATTAAGATCAAACTCAGCATTTTTTTTTTCTGGAGAAAATGTATTGGAGCCTTCAGAGGCAGTGTGATTCTCTATGATATTGGTGGTCTCTGTCTTGAAGTAACCCAGGCCTCATAAGTAGGGTACTTCAGTACCTCCCAGAGAGAAGGGTACTGCCAGCCATTTGCCAGGCTGTTTGCTGTGGTCACCTGAGACAGGAGCTGTGGCAATGGAGGCTCCAGTGGCAGGAATTACCTGTGGAGGCAGAGTGGAGGGACAAGCTGGGCAGGGTTTGCGTTAAGAAACCAGGAAGTCTAACATATATGGGGGGAGACAAAACGGGGTTGCGAAGGATCTTCAGTGGCTGTGATTCTGTGGAAGGTGAATGGGGGTGCAAAGATCGCGCTTGTGTGTGTGTGCACGCTTGTGTGCTCTATTCCACCTTGAGAATTGCATGTTCACGCGGAGAACAGTGGTAAATGTCAGGTATCTCCCCTCTTGATTTTCGCCTTATTTTTCATACAAGATTTCTCACTTAACCTGAAGCTCATAAATTGTGCTCGATTGTCTGACCAGAAGGTTCTGAGGATCCCATCGCCCAGCATGGTGGTTTCAGGCTCTCTACTACACCTGGCTAGTATTTTGGTGCTGGGAATCCCAACTTAGGTCCTCACACTTGCTTGGTGGCAGGCACTTGACCCTAACCAATGGATAATCTTCCTATCACCAGGTGAAAAGACACTAACAGCAGGGATACTTGCTGGGCATGGCTATGCTGGGGAATTCTTTAGTTACATGATCATGGATGACTTGAGGAAATTTTTCCTCTGGGGACATCTAATTACTGTGTGATTTTTATTGTGTTTTATTTTCTCGTTGCCCCTAGAAGAGGGGTAAGATACCCCCTGGGGCACTTGGTATTTATCATTTGAGCTGTATATCCTATAGCTTTTAGACTGCTCATCCCTGGCAGTCTAAATTAATGATTTAATTTAGAATCAGTAGAAATTAATGATTAGCTTTCCATGAATACTGACATAGTATCAAGTGTAGTCTCCTGTCCTGGCAGCATCGATTCTAAAGGGTTTATACAAACATCTTTACAGCGATGATGACATTAAATGGATGATATTTGTGCTCTTCACACTGTCCACTGGTTAAAAATATTCACCACTGTATTCCAAGCAGACCAATCCCACCGAGAACTAGAAGCAAGACACCATTCTTGGATATCAGGGCCCTCCCAGTTGACAGAGCTGAGAGTGATGTTACATACACACAGATGAGTGCTGCAGGTGCTTGTGGGTATTGGATGGCTTCCCCACTCACTCTCGAAGTGAGCACTCGCAGATTTGGATCAAGTATTTAAGTCAGTTTTTCTACGGTTGTGCACTATTCGCGCCACGTGATCACTCCTTTGTCCCACTGTGCTCTGAAGTGCTCTGTGGTCATTTCACAACACTGAAATGTTGTGAGCAGTCTCCTGACAGTGTCATCAGGAAGCTCATGATTTCCCTTTTTCAAGTCATATTTTCATTTCAGAAGGTTTCAGTGCTAGCAGATCTCAGCTTGCTTCTGTGGTAGCATGACCATTGTTCACTGGGGAAGGAAAGGGAAGTTTGTGAGCACCAAAGAGTGGCATCTCTCACCCCAGGGCTTGTGATAGGATCATCCAACATGGGATTTTGATCTGGGCTGCCATCGACACACATAATCATGACTTTAATTTTTTTGCAGCTCAGTGCTCTGCGTAGTCACTCCACATAGACTCATCTGACTCATTTAGCAGCTGTTTCTTGATGTTTTGAAAGAACTGTGTTTCCTTGAATAAATGGAATTTCTGATTCGTTTTCTGGGGAAATGTGTAGCATAGCTGTGTGGCTGTGTCCCCTGTGGTTTGTTCTCAGTCGCCACCCTCCCTTCCCATTTTCTCTCTCTACTGCTCATAAAAATAGCTTCTTGTCTTTCTTGCTCCTTTTTTCTTTCTGTTCTGCTCCTTTCTCATGCTTTTCCTATTTGTCTCATTTCGTTGTTCTGTCCTGTCTGTTGTTTTCCCCCTTGCTCCATCTGATTTCTGTCTGTCCTCTCTGTCAGAAGATGATATAGGTTTCCAAAAGTCCACAACATTGTACAGAAGTCAAGTGCAAAGCAAATTTTAGAAACTGAACTTTTGTCCATAGAATCTATAATATATTATATAAAAAAGCTATTCTTTGAATGTTAATTAAATATTAAACAAAATAATTACAGCATTTTGCATATTTAAAATGGTGATACCTTTCTTTCCCAATAGAAAGTATCCACAGTGACTTTCTGATTAGAATTAAGGCTCTGCTTCATTTGGCATGGCCAGCCAATTCTCTCTGTGCTTAAATTATATTTAACTTATGAGGTGAATATTACTAAAATATGGACTTTGGTTTTTCCATTCCCCCAAAAGTTAGAAGTTCGCCTTGCATTATCATACTCAAATAATTGTGGAAGTAAGACAATGAAAGCAAATGATTGGGAAAGACACAGCATGGCATGCCGACAGCCTAGTGTGCAGTGAGTTAAAATATTTGGCAATCAAATTATATGAAATAAAAAATATTTTATGTGTCAGTGTTTATGTGAAAGAGTCCAGACTGTTCAAAGGTAATTTACTGAGGTGCTACTAGCTGTTGACGGAAGGGAGATCCATTCTTTTTGAATATGTGGTCACTGGTAGATTTTACATGCTCCATTGTATGACCCTGTACCCAGGCATTTGTAGATGGTGCTAATTAGACTTAATGGGTTGTAAAAAAAGAAAGAAAGAAAGGAAAGAAATAAAAGAAAAGGAGAGGTCAAGAGGGGAGCATTTTGGAGAAGAAGGTT